TCGATTGTTGATCTTTATAAAGATGACGTTTCTATTTCAAGGTCATATTTAAATGACTAAAAAAATGGGTGAGTAGAGACTTTCTTGCTGAGTACAGGCATTCACTTCATTTTTCTTTAAAAATTATACCAGGATTACAGTGTATTTAACCCACCCACTTCTCAGCGTTGCAGAATAATACATGGAGAAGGTGCTCAGTGGCTATATGGTGGGAAACATCATTCCACATGTCTGCAGAAGATAGGGCTTGGGGTATATCTGCTCCAAATTATACTGTCCCAACCTCAACTCTGCAGGGATTCAGAATCAAAACGAGAACTGGATCAACATAATTTTATTGCAAAAGGCATCACACTTATCCCCCAAGAAGAATTAAATGGCAATAGCTAACTGGGAGGCTTCTCAATAGCCACAGAAGTCAAGAACCAATGAACAGGACAGGACCAGCCTTCAAAAACCTTAGCACCCACTTGTGTATCAGGGGCTCTCTAACACACTTACGGTGGTGTGGAGAGTACATACACAGGTGTGAATAGCTGTGCAGACAGTCAGGCACAGTTTAGGTGAGTAAAAACATGCCAGAACCAAGCATCATGTACCCTACATGGCTCTCTATACTCGCCCAAACAATGCTTCCCCTGTCTACACTAATTTTAGCAGTGGAGCATCCCACTGCCTCAGTCTTTCCCTGCCACAGGGAAAGGCCCCAGAAGCAGGAAAAGGCCCTGGCAGGGAGGAGACAGCAGGAAAAGGTTATGGCAGCATCTCACTGCTGGAAACTTCCTCACTACTTCCCCCTGCCAGAGCATTTCATTACCATATGTAGGTACATATTTCAGTGTGGACACAGCCTGCATTTCACTGTAGCTACACATACCCTTACACACCATTGCCAGTGTAGACAAGGCAAGGATCTGCACAGGTCACATTCAACGGTCTAAGGAGCAGAACACTGTGCACATTGTACAGGGTACTTCTTATGCAAGGTGATCAATCCTAAGATTTTTACTTGTTAAAACTGGCCAAGAGTAGCCACCAATTTGCCATGATTATCAATTTTCTATAAGGCAAGATTTAAAAATCTAGCAGCTCTTTAAACTTTCAGCAGCACACTAGTATTCAAATGGTTTTAGAACTGAAGTATTCTGAAGTAAAATCTAAAATATGTTTCTAATTTAAAAATCCCTTTAAAATAAGCAGTTTTCAAGGGTTTTCAGAATTGCTGAGCACGCACAGTTGCCAGAGGTTCAGTAAACATGGAAAACCAAAGAGAATAAAATATTGCATCCACTGAAACAAGAACATGTTTGTTTAATCAGTTTTGCAGTTTATTTTCCTGCTGAGTTTTAGGAACAGCTGCAGAAATATCAGTTTAAATTTGAGTGTTTTCAAACCCCTCAAATTTTGCATTTTCATGAAGTTAAAAACACTAATTTCACATCAAAAACAAGATCTTTTCAAGATGCAAATTTTCAAAGCCACCTTTTACTCAGCACATGAACATAAGAATGGCCATACTGGGTCAGACCAAAGGTTCATCTAACGCAGTATCTTGTCTTCCGACAGTGGCCAATGCCAGGTGCCCCAGAGGGAATGAACAGAACAGGTAATCATCAAGTGATCCATCCCGTCGCCCATTCCCAGCTTCTGGCAAAGTATACTGGAATGAACTCCATTTCAAGTGAGGAATCTGAAAACCATTTTGAAATTTTAGCTCTATTATCAAAATCAGAATGCAACATTAACAAGTCAGATGTTCTAGAGCTTCACCTTTCTTTGTTAATATTTCAACATTTCTCTACTTCAAAAGGAAATAAAAGGCTTAGAGAGGAAAATAGCTTTTGCATTAACTACATATACTTCAAAAGGATTTACAAGTGACCCTAGAGTTCTCATTTCCTAAACTCTTTGAAAATGGGCATATTAGTAAATGTTAAGCATTACTTTCATAATTTTTTTCACCTTTAACATGGCAGCATCCTAGAACTGAAACTGAGTGATTTAATTTGAAAAAATGAACCTATTTAAAATATATTACTTGAGATATGTAATAAGTTTGTGCAAAACATTTACCCATCCCTTTTCATTCTTGTGTTCTACTCATAATAGTTTCACAAGCCTGTAATCCCCTGCTTTACTTAATCCACCAAAGTTTCCCCTCTCCTTTGATAACTCCCTCTTTACATTCCATGTTTTTCCACAAACCCAATTAACTATCATTTAGCTCCTCCATGAAGTAAACGAGAATGAAAGAATAAGAACCCCCTGAAAATATAGGAAACTCTTCACCTTTACAAATAGGCCTAAAATGCCTATCACACTTTGAGAACTACAGAACTATACAACCAATGTACAGTGGTGAATGTGTCATTGGGACATGGCCCCACTTAAATATGAGAAGGTAAAATCAGAGTAAAATAAATTTGTCTTTATCCCCAGAATCTGTGACCCAGGGATCTCTTGGTGCTAACTGGCAGAGGGTACAGGAGTTCATATGGGTTACAGGGACGCCCTGGGTTTGATATGTACAATCCAAGTCCACTAAAGAATGTCATGTAAGGTCTCTTCTGTAAGCATGTGTCATGCTGGTCCTCATAATTATGATGAAAAGTTTGTACAGATAACGTGTATGGAGTTGTCCATATATACAGACAATTATCTTCTCAAAGTCTGTGACTTGGGGCTGGTCATCAGAAGATGATGAACAAGTTTCTTTCAGGCAAGACATGCTAATGTACATAGACTGGTTGATAAAGTAGTGTATACTTCACAATGAACACCTATTTACAGCCTAAGGAAAATGCTAATCAAGTGGTTGCAAAGTCTCCAGGGGAGGCTCGGGGGTCGGGGGGGGAGAGAGAAGGGAGCAGCAGATTAACCCATTTTACAATGGAAGACAATGAATATTTGGAACTATATGTGGGGTGCAGATTTACACCCAGTTATCCTTCACCAAGGGGAAGAGCTGCCAGCTGTCTTGTCTTATGAAGAGAGCATCACGCTCAGTCTGGCTCTTAAACACTGGGAGAGAAACTTTGGGAGACCTTTATGAGATGGGGAATATCATGTTAGTGACACTCACACTCTAGAAAGTGTTTTATGATTTTATTTTATATGTAACCTTTTGATTCCATTCATTCTACTTGCTTCTTCTCAAATCTCTGTTCTTTGTTAAATAAACTTCTTCTTGTTACTGTCAACGTATCAAAGTGCTATGTGTTAAGCAGAGCTGTGATCTAAGGTGTAACTGGTGAGCTGGGTGTATGGTTCCTCTGGGAGCAGAGGATCTGGGAATTTTGGGAGTGTCCAATGGATAGGGGACTGGGCACTCCAGGGGGACTCTTGGAGGACTTGCGAGTTGGCGTGTGCATATATTGTTAACTTGTAAAGGGAGTGTGCAGGGCCCGTGTAAGCCTAGAAGGTAGTGCTTGTGTTGCCAGAGGCTGGTGAACTGACCCACAGTAGGCACAGACAAGGCTTCCTCACACTATGGGAAGGTGGTAGCGAGGTACCTAATGACCCTGGATGCCCCCAGGAAGCATCACTGTATCATTGAGGGTACGTCTACACTGCACGCTTCTTTCAGTGGCATGTAGTGTACATACTCAAGTAGGCCCCCTAGCATGGGTACAAATAGCAGTGTAGAGAGCAAGGCACGGCTTAGGTGAGTAGAGTTAAAACATGGCTGAAAGCTGTAGGTAAGTACTTGAGACCTATCCTACACGGTTCTCTACTCACCCAAGCCACAGCGTCCACATTGGTATTTTTAGCAGAGCAGGATCTGGCTGCCTCCCCACTGCTGGAACCCTTCCCTGATACAGGGAAAGACTCCGGCAGCTCAGAAAGTCTCAAGCAGCTTTATGCAAGGCTCTGACAGGGGGTAGGTAGCTGGGAGCGGCTGAAACCTTTCCCTGCTGCATCCCCTCTGCCAGAACCTTTCACAGACACACGTAGTTACCCACCGCAGCGTGGATGCAGCCCACTTTCTACTGCGATATGTAGCTATGCATATCCCACACATTGCTGCGAGTGGTATGTAGTGTAAGATGTAACCTTACAGAGATTAATGTAATAGAACATCACAACTCTTCAAGATAAAGATGGAGGCTCCGGTGCTCCCAACTCAAGTACCTATGTGCTCATTCCATAAGAAGCCTCCAAAGCAACAGCAAATCCTCCCTGTATATCCAGACAGCCATCGCAGAACATTAAGGAGCCCATCCAAGTGTGCTCTTAATTAAGGAGTACACGTACAGCTAAAGTAAGGTACAGTCCTCCACTTACATTTTAACCTGAACTCGCTGTTGTACATTCTTCACACAGTGCATCAGAAAACAACATTTTGCAGAGTTAATAATCAGCTAGAGAACAAGAGTTCAATGATTACAGAAAAGCAGCAACTTCGAAAAATAGATCCTATGCCAAAGCAACGTCCCATTATACTAAAAGCAGAACCATAATCTCCAGTGACACCATAATCTCCAGGAGGAAGCTGATTGACAGTAAATGAAGCTGAATCTTTCTTTGAAAGCTTTGTTCAATATATGTAATGTAAGTACCACTTTTTCTATATTTAGTAAATATTTAAAAAAATAATTTTAGAAGAGAGGAAGATGTCTTATAAATAGGTAAAATATGAACTTTAGAATAAATATTAGGTAACATGCTAGTATACTTCACCACCTTAGTCTAAGATGAACTTCAACAAATTAATTTAGACAGGCCCAAGCCTCAGTTGGTATGAATGGAGATTGATTTACAACGTCTGACTATTCAAGGAATATTAAACAGAAGTTGAAAAGAAAAAAAGCCCTAGATTTTAGTATTTCACCTTTCATACCCTCACTGCTATAGAATTTTACCGCTGAAATATAGATGAATTGAACTTGTCATCAACTTATATTTAGCATTTAAACGAGATTCATCAGCATCAATATTTTACAACTTAATCATCTCAGCCTCAGTAGGCTTAAGCCATCTACATTTTCACCAATACTTACTGCGTCTTGATAGCTGAGGACCTCCAGGATGCTATTGAGTAATTCTACACAGTACTTCTTCTCTTGAAGCTGAAGTTGTTGCTCTTCCCTTTGTTCTAGTAATTCTTTCAGTTCTTTTGTAATCACTGGAAGCAGAATGTCCCTGCATTCTGGAAAGTAAAATATTCTCTTATGAAAAGGAAAAAAATGTCAATGCTATTTTGAAATAAATCCTCCTTGAAACAGTGAAGCACAATAAGCTCTTCCTTTCTCAGCTTTAATAGCAGAAGTCTCCATCACCTTGGTTTTCTTGATTTCTCTCTCATGCCCCAAGGACTCTTCAACATCTTTGATGCCTTCGCTGCTTACCAATATACTTCACACATAAATGACGAACCAGTTGAGATAAAATGCTAACCTGCCTTCAGCTAAGTTTGGAGTGTTGTTTAATGCCATGGACACTTGTCTGTGAATACTTGTTGACTCCATGTATGAAAGATTGCAAAGAATGCCTATATTTCTTTACAAAGTGAAATGCTGTATTTAAATCAATCTAGGTTTATTCTCTGTTGAGATGTTGGGTTGCTTTTGTTTTTGTGGTGTGTTTCATTTGTTTGTTTGACAGGAGTAAGATTGCTTTTCTAGCATGATTGTTCTGAGGGGAATGTTTGAGACATGAAAGGATTCACACATGTCCATAAAGTAAAATATGGCTAAGAAACAATAGAGATCTACATTTGATAGCAAAAGTTAATTAAATTTGAACCCTGCAGAGAGACCCACTCAACAGACATGGAAAACTTTTGAGACTCCTATCTGCAGCAGAAGTTCCAGATATTAAGAGCTGAGCCAATTTCTGTCCTCATTTTCAACTGAACAACCCCACTGAAATGAAAAGTCTGATGTATCTGCAGCTCAAACTAATTGATATTTTATCTAGGAGAACTGTTTCTGGGAAAGTTTTGGAGAAAGCACTACATTAACTAGAAATAAACAACTTTAAGAAAAGCTGAGTGGCTACAGGTAAAGAATAGGGATATTTCCAAAAGACTGGATGTTACATACTACCAAATAATTATTAATCAATAATGTTGAGTATTATTTTCATTATAAAGTTGAGTCTAAAGTGAGCAAACAGGATGCAGTGAAACAGTGAATGAGGCAGAGGAGAGGTCACTTTAACTGCACTTTCCTCTCACGTCTATAAAAACCATCCAGCAAGAGATCAAAGCTGAATGTAGCTTTAGAGGTTTCACCTTAGAACAAAAGAATTACAAGAAATGTGCAGACCTGTTGAAAACTTTTCAGTGAAACACTGAGCTGAAATTTTGACCAATTTGTTTCAGGTGACACCTCGTACCTTAAAATTGTTTTTGTGAACAAACAAACAAACAAAAACTCTTCATCACGCTTTCACTTTTCACTCAGAACATGTCTAATTTCTACTTGCAGATGAGTTTATTTTCTCCAGAAAGGGAAAACTTTTGAATGAACAAAACAAAACAAACCATGAAGCCTTTTTTTTTTAATTCAAACAAATGTGCATTAAAAACTCACATTTTTAAAAGCTTTGCTTTTCGTTGGGATTTTTTAACTCAATACCTTGTAACTTCAATGTAACAATATAACTTCATTATATTCATGACCCCCCATAAACGTCTAATTGCTGAAAATTAATATTCCGTAAAGATAGTAGACCATCAAAGCAGTGAGACCAGGTGAGTAAGGTAATATCTTTTATTGGACTAACTTCTGTTGGTGAGAGACAAGCTCTGTATGGCTTGCAAGCTTGTCTCTCTCACTAACAGAAGTCGGTCCATTAAAAGATATTACCTCACCCACCTGGTCTCTCTAATGCCCGGGGACCAACCTGGCTACAACTACAATGCATACATCAAATCAGCTGACATTTTCATCATGGATTATTACTGTTAGTATGCACCTTGATCCAGCAAGACAATTAAACATGAGTAGTCTCACTGATGTCAATGGGACTGGTCATGTGCTTAAAATTAAGCACATACTTAAGTGTTTTGCTGGGTCAGCATCATAGTGCAACTAGAGTACATGGTACTCCAACAAATCAAAAAGACAGAACCCTGCCATGTGGATGTTACTATCCAAGTTGAATACAGCAGTTTTACACAGTTTAGTCATCATCTACGCAGCTGAGTGTGCCATTAAGATACATAACTTTTTGTATTAAACTGAAAAATGTGTTTGTGACGCAAAATCCTCTTGGTGCCAACTGGCAGAGGGCCCAGAGGAAGCATAGGATTTTACAGAGATCCCCTGGGTCAGATAAAAACATACTAACTTCACCAAAAGGCAGCATATAAAGTCTCTATTACGAGCCAGTAACCCACTGATCATCATAAACATGCAAAATGTATGGATAATATTTAGCAAGTTATGTATCTATACTGGAAATTATCTTCTCAAAGTCTTGGAGTTAAGGCAGGGGACTTTGGTGACAAGTAAAAGAATAGGGGTTATCCTGTTCTTGAAAAAGAACAAAGAACTGTCCTGTTACCTCTAAGGGTACCAAGAAACGCTCAGCATCTTTCACCTAGCAGGCAAGCTGACAGAGTGACTTGTCTCACAAACAGAAGATCACAGCCAAGCCAGGCTGTAAAATGCTGGCAGAACTTTGGGTGAGCTTTTCTCTGTAAGACATGATCATATGTAGTTAAATAAGTCTAGGCTCTACTTGGTATCACTGTGTTAAATAAGCTTTTACTTGTTTTCATTATAAACTTATTTAAGTGCTGTGGCAATCTAGTAAACTGGGGTGTAGTGTTCCTTTGGGAGCAGTGAGTCTGTAAATCTGAGTGTGTCCAGTGGAACAGGGGCAGGACACTCCAGAACGCTTGGAGGGCTCAGGGGTTGGACTGTGCCTATCGCTAACCTGTAGAGTGACTGTGGGACCAACGAGGCCCAGAGGGGAGTGCTTGTGTTGCTCATGGCATGTGGGGTTGGGGAGCTGACCCCCAGTCAGGCATAGACAAGACCTCCTCATGCTATGGGCAGGTGATAGGAAGGTGCCTCATAACCATGGGTAACCCCCGGGAAGCCTCAATATTTCATAAGTCTAAGAAAATGTATAGATTGTCTGCCTAATATGGGAAATTCCTGACAAATAATTTAACTTTCAACTCTTGACAGCAGGGACAACACGGTCCTTTGGAAAGGTCATGGGACTAGGAGCCAGAAGATCCAGCTTCTATTCCTGGCTCTGCCACCAACTCACCATGGGACCTTATGTAAATCACTTAACCACCTGTGCCTCCATTCTCCCATCTGTAAACTGATGATACTGATTCTTACCACTCACATGCCCCTTTGTAAAGTGCCTTGAGATCAACAGATGTTAAATTCAACAAGATAGCAAAGTCCCAGTAATATATTAATATTGATTCAGGGATTGGTCTTTTAGCTTGGTTTTTTTACCATAAAACTAAGCAGGGTAACATCTGTGGCAAGGGAAACAACAGCCAGAAGCGTCTTAAAACCCAGTTGCAATCCTTTGACTGATGCACTTGGTTGCAGACAAAAGATTAAAGACAAGTTCAGTCAAATGACAAATCCAAATTGTGATTAAGAATACTGTACAGCTACTTACATAGAAACCAAGATATTTGTCTCCCTTTTAAAATTGCTGGGAAATAGTTTCCTTTTCAAAACATGTTTGCAGAGGGACCTCCAAAATACAGAAAACTTCTGGGCCGGGTTTCTCAAAAAACTGCCCTCTTCATCCAGCATTACGTAGTTTGAATTCTCGACCACTTCACAACAATATCTGTATGCTATACTTTTAGGTAAGTTTTGCTTTTTCTTAGCTTTCCTAGACCCAGTGTATGTGGGGAAAATCAATATGTATGAATGCAAAGCACTGACCATTAATTGCTCAACCCTTTGATAGTTAACAGCACTTGTGCTGGCCCTCTGAAAAAAAGATGTGAATTTCACCTGGTTGCAAGTTTATTTGGGAATAGAACACAGGTGATTTCCAGCTGTTATCCAGATAGTTATACCCAATAGTCCAAATTGGTTATTTCAGAACTCAATGGCCATAAGAGGCCCCAACAACATGGAAGAAAAGCGATCCAGAGAAAAATTCCTACCTGACCCTGACAGACAATCAGCTTGGTGCAGACCACACTGGGAAACACCACCTCTGTTTGATACATTTTCTATCCCAGAAACAACCCCCACTGATGCCATCAATAACCCAGAACAAAAATCACAACCCCAAGGATGGGTAGGTGGAAGCCAATGCCTGACCTTGCATCTGGCAGCCCTCACATACGCCCTATAAAGAGGGACAGGCAAAAGCCAATTTGCTGGCTAATAGGACACTGGTCTCTATCACTACTCCACCAAGCAATCAGTACCATGAAATGATTTAATTTCCCCCCTTTTCTGCCACTGCCCCCTTCCAAGTCCTTCTTGCGCACCCTAGGTAAGTAATGGGAATGCTTTCCTTTTATGATGCATCAGCTAGAGAAGAATCCAGATCACCCGCTTATAGCACTGCAGAGTCAATATGCAAACATGAATGACTGAGACTAAAACTTACTGTACTCAGGATGCAATCGTCACTGCATACACAACATGTCTGCTGCCAGCAGGTAAGAAAATGCCATTTTTACATAGTACCTTTTGTAACCATAAATACAGGTTCAAGCATACTAGCTGTACCTTAACTCAGTTCTCACCTTTTAGGTCAGTCTTATAGGTTACCTATCTTTTTGCAGTAGACGCAGCAGTAACTACTCTTTAAAACTTATTGTAAAGCTACTCGGGTTTACATATTTAAGCACTACAAAATGCTAACTTTTAACTAATGTTCATTCATAAATATTTCAGGGAATATACACATTGTTTTTAAATACTGAACCAACTGCATATGCAAGACACTTGTAAACATTTCTATTGATGTTTGCTTGTATAAGGAACTGAACAGGCAGTTATTCAATAGTTCTGAAAAATATATAATCCTAGCTTTCAAAAATATCACATCAGTGAATTAAACCAATTTGGTCAGTTACAAAATCAATGGTGATTGCTATGCAGCTGCTATGACAGCTCAGTACATACAATTATAGAAGTTTACAAATTCTCTTGTTCAGTTATCTCAACCATCTCAGCTTCCCTTAACTTCCAGGAA